TAAGCACGGATAACTTTGGATTCCTGTTTTAAAAAAAGTATATTAAATAACGCGCACTTGAGAAAAAAATGATGAGGGTAAAGAAAAGCACGAAACCTGGCCAGATTCGTTTTGTGAAAACGCGAAGCCACGAGTCCTCCGTAATCGTTGAACAGCACGAACTTTTCGAATAGCTTTTTGGAACTGTTCCATACGCGGCCGATAATCGGGGATATTGAATTTTTGTATTTCTTGTACGGTGTGGTATGCTCTTGCTTTGTACATACGTTTTGCACTGTAAAACGATAACATAAATATATGATTTAACAAATGGGATCGAATAATCCAGAAAACCAATCAAATAAAAAAAAACTCACTATTTCCACACGTAATCCCTCAAGAGACAAAATACGGGCAAAAGAATAACAGTCAGATAAAACACCGAACTTGTGAATAATTGCGGCACGATTCCATCGTATTCTTCCGAAATATGTAGTTTTGGCGCGATTGTTGCGTAGACGGGTAGGAAAATTATCCAGAAAATAAAGGAACCGGGAATTGCTAAATACGTGTATTTTGTCCATAAACTAGTAATATTTTATTTTCGTTAGAGAATGAGAGAATGACGAAATCATGATGTAGTAATCAATAGTTAAACCATACTCCGTTATTAACGCAGCCTTTCCTAATACTGTGGCAAGTACAGCCGTGTACAATGTCGTACCCCAGACCCAATGACCTGCCGTAAGTCCATCATATAAGAGTAAATCTTGATCAAAAATAAATATTGAAGCCCAATAAAGAATCTACCAGACAAACAAAAAAAGTTAAAGCACTTCCTTAAGATCGCATAAATAAATAATGATCTAAATTTTTACAAACCAAAGAATGATAAAAAGCATTTATTGTCCATCCCCAGAAATTCTTAACATTAAACTTTTTTAAAAAAAGGGTGGCGTTAACATCAGTTAACAATTAGAAAGATTAGAAAAACGCAATCAAATAGATGTACTCACAAATTCACTTTTTTGACCCAGCATATACATTTGCGGATATCGATCTAACATTCTTGCACTCACATACTGATCAAATACTCCAATAACAAGTGGCGGTAACACTGTGAATAACACATTATAAAAACTTATAGTCCAAGACTCGTAGATAACTTGTCCAGAGAATCCATTTTGGAATGTGAACTAAACAATAGATTAAAAAAAATGGGTTGATAATAAATCCCAAAAAAGTAATCGAATAGTATATTCCAGCTAATGCATATAATAACGAGAGATAATGAATACAAACCCAAAACTGCGTCATATAGAGAGTAATATTCTTATAAAAGGAGTACAAGATCAATTTACTCAAGCGCTGATAACTCCAAGCACCATGCACCAATAGAAGCTTCTTCAAAAAGCGAAATTGACTGATAGCAACATCGGCACTTCGAGCCGCTTGCAACCCTTCTAAACCACTAATACCCACGCCGACATGGGCTGCTTGAATCATCGACACGTCGTTGGCCCCGTCGCCTATGGCTAGAAGGATTGCCTTCAGGTGGTGTTTTACTAGTTTTACAACTAATGCCTTCTGTAGTGGTGAGACACGGCAACATATTACGGCTTTGCATAGTATCGCAAGATCGAGAAAAGTCTTTTCTAGTTCTTTGTCGAGTGCGAATTCTAGTGATCGACCATCGATGACAAGTGCAAGCGGCTAATTTGTTTATTATTAGTATTATTAATTATTTTCTTTTCTTTTTTGGCAGTGAATTTAATGACAACTTTACCTCAGTATCAGGGTTCACACGCCCTTTTAGTTCTAATACTTTTTTCTCGAGAAATTCCTTAGTTTCCCAATGACTTTCCTTATTTACAATGATCAGCGACATCTCTTCTTGAATCAATCTACAACTCAATCCGATATTAATGGCCGTCTCTTGTCTATCCCCGGTCAACACCCAGATTTTGATACCAGCCTGTTGCAATGTATGTATCGTCTCAGGCACGCCATCCTGTAATTTATCCTCGATAGCGGTAGCACCCAACAGGAACAAATCTTTTTCAATCATCTCGGCGGCTTTATCAAGCTCATCTTGACGATTGACCAATGTGGTGGAAGCTTTTTCGTATATCCCGGACCATCTTTGATACTCATCTTCGGATATTTCTCGCATTGCGATACATAATGTTCGTAGACCTTCTGTGGCATATTCTTCCAAGTGCTGGAGTGTTGCTTCGACGAATGGATTGTTTTCACTTAGTCGTTCCAGGATGACGGTATCAGCACCTTTACAATAAAGTTTGATTTTGCCATCGGGACCACGTACAACTGTTGACATACGTTTCCGCGTACTATTGAATTCACATATATTGAGGATTTCATATTCCAGTTCTTTTTGATTGACGGTAATGTGAACTGATTTTGGACGACGGGTCGTAAAAGTATACCCCAATACGGAAGCACCTTTTACAAGAGCACCCTCATCTGGAGATGATGCCTGATATATGATCTCTAAAATCAATCAAAAAATTTTATTTTTAATGAACACTAAAAAGGGAATAATAATACTAATAAAAATACAAACCACTAGGATTCTTTTCGTTTCTTTCCGGAATAACAGTATGACAAACCGCCAAAAGAGACAAAAATTCATTGATCGCATTGGCCGTTGGGTGACTTCTCAAATTCTCTCTTAATTGCTTGAAATCATATTGTCCCACCTCAACCCCATCAACAACGCGGGCACGTTTTAGATCTTCGACCGCATCAGCATAAGCTAAACCCGCGATGGTGCATTGCCGAAATTCCATTTCATTACATGTTAAGGTGCCCGTTTTGTCGGAGAAAATGTATTCAATCTAGTTTCGATTCAAAGTCAAATTATTGATTATTTTACATGATATATGAAATCATGTTATATTATATTTGTTTGTAATTTGTTGTAAGTTTTTTTTTTATATTTTGCTTAAAGTCCATTAAATTTTTTGGAAAAAAAAAAGAAATGTTACCTGTCCTAATTCTTCCACTAAACTACTGGTCCGGCATAATGCAGGCGTGTCGGTCTTTTCGTAATACATATCCAAATCAGAATTAATAAGATCAGCTTGTTTGAATTTAACCACCTCCATTGTGACAATCAAACTACGTGTCATTAAAAAGATTTTGACAAAAATTAATAAATAATAATACAATAAAACAGATTAATATTAGTGGAATAAAATACCTTATAGGTATGAGATTGTTGAACAAAACTAAGAACGTAAGAATATTAAGTCCAAATTGTGATATCATACTAGTACCCGAAAAAAGTTCCAAATAGTCCAATTCAGATTGTGATCGAAGCTATTTTTTAACATAAATCATTAGTAAAGTCTGTTATTAGTTACCTTACCACTACCACGCCCAAGAAATTGTCATTTTAAAATTGAGGAGAAAAGCATGTATTACCGTTATCACAGTATAACCGATTGAACATGCCAAACTCATGGTCAACAATATTCCAAATAAAAATATAATTTGTACGTTGACCATTTTTTCAACGCTTGTTCTTTTAATTGGAGTCGCACTATCACCGAAAACCATAGCAATAATGAAATTAGTCATTTTGAAAAGATTCTCAGATTTCAAGTAATAATTAAGTAGATTTTTTTCAAGGCACGAACCTTGCATTTCTCATTAGTTTTGTCTCGTGTCCGGTGAAAACTACGATACCATATATCCATCTGGTATTCCTTAATTGTGCACCCTATTTCAAATTGAATTGATTAAATGAATGGTACGAGAAAATTTTTATATTCAAGAAGTTGCTTAAAATACTGACTCTAAGTAATAATTGTGTAGGATCAAGCGGAAGCTGTTTATTTCCGTCAGGTGTATTCATGACAAGCGTTCCTTCATAGGTATACAGGCTGTTATTTGGATTTTCTGACTTAAGGTATCCTAAAATATCAATCATAAAATTGTTAACGTATAAATTTATCCATAATTCAAAAATCATCCAAAAAATAAACATATACCAGATATCTGGCTAATTTCCGCCGAGGACGTAAGATTAGCAGTTTCAGGCAGTGCTTGTTTAATCTTTAGATTTGTTTCACTAGAGGGGTGGGATATGTATGAGTGGATGTCAAAATATATATATATCTCCAAAATTGTGTAGGAATTAATGATCTTGATCTTGATGACATGGGAAGCCCCTAGGATCGATGATATCGCGAAAACTTTAAACTAAGGAAATTTTATTTTGTTTGTGTGCCCTTCTCCCAGCCAAGAATTCTAACGTTATTATAGCGAAATAGGTTTTTAAGTAAAGAATGATGACGATGATGTTTTATTTTGGCTTGTTCTTCTCTAAATTCATTTTTATCATTCAGCTGCTTATTCATTTGGATGTTGCCAGACAGATAGACAGTTGTTAACAGCAGTAGTGGTGGTGGTGATGAAGATGACGACGACGACAATGATGATGATTACGATTGATGATGATACTTTATTATTATTGTCGATGAACAAATACTAATACTTTTTTTTAAAGGATAGCTGTTCCGACGCGCAGAGAACCTCAACAAATAAATAGAAAAAATAGAAAAAAACTTACCCATCTAAATTACTTGTTTCTATATAGCATAGCCCTTCTGGTTCTGAGCTACTCAGCAGAATTAAATCAGCGGGAAAAAAATCACCGCCTTCTACTCGAATAATATCGCCTACTTTTACAGAGTGCCATCCTTTTGATACGAACGAGCTGCCTTGGAGCGCATTACATTCTCGTGAGTTCACTTCAGTGTCTGAGCGGTGTCGTTTCTTTAAGAATTATTAATCATTGATAGTTGTAACTATTATTGTTCCCAGCAACTTTGCTGTCAGAGTAAAAGAAACATATTTTTTCTTACATAATCTTCCATCATTTCTTTGAATCCTGTGGCCGCCAATACTACCACTAATGGACCGAGAGTAGTGTATCGATTTGTCGGTGAGACTCCATTTATTTGCTATTAATGTTGTTTTCAATTAGAAGAATACAAGTAGATAAATTCCCAATTCACATGAACTCTATTCTTGTAAGATCTCTTTTTTTAATGGTAAATAATGATAGCCAATGAATGCACCATTAATAATCTTTTTTCTCGCATCAAATCCAATTCTTTCTACAAAAGCACAAAAAAAAGGCAGAAAGTCCACCTAATCTCAGCATCTCCACCAATTAAAATAAATTTCGCACTGTACCTGGATAGAAGCTAAAGTTATGGTCCAATTGCAAAAAAAGTAATTAATTCATAACTTCAAGAATTAACCAAATAAAAATTCTTAATCCAAGAAAAATACCTGTAAACAAGAAAAACAAATTTGCATATTTTGAAAACTGCTCATACAAGAATTTTGGTAAAAAAGTAAAAAAACTATATTTCGCCGTCGATATCCGATTGTGCAGATATCGATTCTGGTCGTTCTTCTGTGGATCGTTAAGGTATATAGTACGTCCCACGTTTTCAGTAGTGGTATTATTGGCACCATCACCCGCTCCCCCAGCTGACAATTTCGAGGTATTGGTCGGAGACATATTTGCAGCATGTGAAGTCAACGGAAGATTTGCCTCAGACAAGTTTGACATATTTGAAACTTGACGCATTAGACCCGTTGAATCGGAGTAAAAAGGTTCGTATTCGTCGTCGTCGTCAGGTGTATTATCGTTATAATACGGGTTAAATGAAGAATAGGCGCTGCTTCCAATTCCTTGAGGGTGAAAAGATGGTGTAACAGCAGCAGGTTGCAGATTCTGCAAGCTTGGCGGTGGTTGTGGTTGTGATGTTAATGTGTAGGTGTTGTTGTCAAAAGGGTCAACAAGGTTTTGAGGTTGACGCGAAGTTGTTGAATTGTCCTTAGATGAAGTAGTATCGGTATGTTTGAAAAAGTCTGACATTCTGCTTATTTGCAGTGCACTGCAGGTTGTAAACTCGGATGCGGCAAATCCCGTGCTGTGCGCAAATAAATAATAGTTCAGCGATCTATATGTCTATATTTATTATATCATGTGCGGGCTTTTCGTCCAACGTCCAAAAGCAATGCCTTTAAAAAGGGATGATCGTTATCTTAAAAGATTTCGTCCTACCTCCAAAACGAGTCTCCACTATAAAAAAAATCCAAGCAAAAAGACAATACCTTTCGTTATCATTTATGTTTTCTTTATTTACTCCCTCCCGCCACACGTAAAGTAGTTAGCCTCATGCAAAAGATCTTGCACTTATACCATTATCGATTTTAAAAATAAAATATTTCTTTTATTGGAAAACTTGAACTAACTAAATATGATAGAGACGACTAATTATGTAATTTCAATTAATTATTGTTATCGTTATGGTTCGCTTTGTACAAAAAAAATTGGATTAGGAAAGGTGAAGAGATAGTTTCCATATCATCTTATTCGAGTTTCGAATTCCAGTCCTGCACAGCTATTATACAACTGTTTCGTGAAAGAACACGCATGCATCGCATCGAATTCGAGATCTTCATTCCGCTTTTTCAAAAAAGTTTTCAAGTCGATTAATTAATACTGACCCCTGCAAACCTTCGAATTTTGCAGATTTCTTCCTAGGCTTGATCGGGATTTAATGACTCAGAATTTAATTAATAAAAAAAGGATATCGATATGTGTGTCTTCGTTGTTTTGCTGCCTATATATACAATTCTACCACATACTAGAATAAAATAATTACTAATTAATCTTGATAAAAATGATGGGAAAAAAATCATTCAAAGATTTGAGAAGTTCGTTAAGAATGTTAACTGTAAAGAGTTTTCCAATAAATCTAATCCATTTATTTTTTAATTTTGGTAGCTTCAACGTATTCCTCTGAAGAAAAATTCGAATTTTTATTTTTGATGTGTTATTATTCGAACTTTTACCTCCTCAATAGAAAATAAGCGTAATTTTAAAATTACGATCCATAATTTTTTGATTGATTCCAAAGCATGATTCTCAACACAGATTTAGCTTATAAGCTTAGTTACATCACATGTTGTGTGATCTTGCAGTCACTCCGATTAGAGAACATCTTTTAAAGTTAATTTGTTTGATATTCTTTGTGCAGAAAGTCATAAGATGTAAATTTAAATACCTGAAATATCACGTGTATGATTTTTGATTGGTTGAATTGTATCATTTCAAAATTACACACATTAATAAAAATGCGATTTTACATATACTCTCTATTGTTTGTTTGTTATTACAGTCTAGTCGACCAATCGAATCGCAAGAATGCAAAAAAACAAAAAAACGATTTGATCCTAACGTTAACCCAAAACTTTGATTAGAGGTTAAAATATAACAGTAATTTCATAAGCAAACAAAAAGTTTGCATGAAGCATCAAAAAACGTAGTGTATGCCCACCTTTCTTTTTACTAATAGTTTTCTTTTGTTTATCAAATAACTTTGCCCAAAAAGACTCGAGGTATTTTGCAAGGTAATCGCAGATCTATCAAAACGTATTGCTTTAATCGCACCAGGTTAGAGAGATATATGTACCACAAGTTTTTTTTTTGATGGGTTTACAGTTCTGGTTCCTGATAACATGATATCAAACCAATAAGAATGCTCAAATTATATATGTGCCGGCAAACTATTGCAGGTTTAGAGATAAGAGAGAGATTATATGTAAAATTGTCTCCCTGTCATTTTTTTTCTTAGAGCTTCAAAGTTAAATTTTGCTTTTTGTTTTCTGCATCATTTTTTCGTTTTCTTTTTCAATATTCTTATTGGATTGTGTTGTGCATGTGATCACGAACCGGACAAAAATTGCGCCACAATGTTGATTGGTGTTAGCCGGCGCAGCAATAGATAATAGGCATTCCCTTTAGCGTACTTTATTGATAATTATCAATATTCTTCAGTGTTCCGCATTATTTATAATAGTGCGTGTGTTATCAAACTATTTACTCTTCTAAAAGAAAAAAACCCACTCTCCACTCGCTTTCTTATTGTTTAGAATTTTTCTAGCAAGACACATACTGCACCATATATACCGTCAAAGGCGATAATTTTCTCACCTTAATCAACAAAAAAGTAAAGGACAAAATGGTAGACCGCATTGACATGAGTCTCGATGAGATAATCAAAGGCAACAAAAAAAAGCAAAAGGGAAATGCCAACAACAACAAAAACAACAACAACAATAACACAAGCAACAGCAGTAATACTACTAATAATAGTAGAAAAACGGGACCTATTCGTGCAAGGAATGCAGGCAAAAGTTTGACTCGACAAAAGGCCAATCCCTATCCGGTAAGAGTTCTCAGAACTTTAAGATTACTGCTACTTGCTGCGTAGTAAGCAAGTAGTAAGTACACACGGCTGGAACATAGACCTTTTGAGTTGCTCAAAGTTGCGACGTCGAAAAACTCTGGGAAAAGGCTTTATTCTATAAAAATTTAAATTTTGTCTCGAGAAATAAAACGGCGAAGCACGCTTTTTGCACAAATTAAAAAACAAGGCTTTTGAGCATTCTGGCCGTTCGTTCAATGAATTGATTGATGCAACGATTCCCAAAAAACACACATTCAAACACAATCACGAGACTGATATATTCATCCCTCCTGCGACTTTGCGCTCTACTCCCTCCACTTCAATCAGAAACCGAAAGCGATCAAGGCCGGCAATTCTAATGGCATTTGGCGCCATGATTTATTCAAGACCCTTAATCCCGGTCCTACGCGTAGCAATCCTCTCGTAGCAGAGTCATCGTCATCATCAACCGGGGGTCTTTCCATTCAACAAAGACTTGGCACCAATGTCGGAGTAACTGGTAGAATGTCGATTAAGGGAGTCGCCCCTGTAAAACAAGAGTTCTCTTTTAAAGGAGAAGGTGGACCGGCGACTATCCAAATCAGTAACCTTGCTCCTGGGACAAGTGCAAACGACATTAAGGTATTATCTATATTGTACTAAAAGATCGCAAACACATAAATATACGTATAAATTTTAATATTAATTTTATCGCACTTAATAGACTGCCTTTATGGATTTCGGCGATATTTTGACTTTGGATATGAAATCCAATAAAAATCCTCGTTCGCCTGTGAATGCTGAATTGACATATGAATCAAAAGTATCGGCTCTTGCTGCTATAAAGAAATATAACACAGCTCTTGTCGATGGTAATAATAGCGATAATATTCTTCGCTTTTTTGCGACTGATTCTATGACAAGCAGATATTCATCATTAATTTTAAAAAATTATTTATTAGGTCGTGTACTAAAAGTTCAATTGAAACAAGCCGCTGCGGTTGCAACAGCTACCACTAGTAATATTGGCAGCGCATCTTATCGCTTGAAGAATAAATTCGGTAAACAGACGGTGCCCAGATCAGTTCGGTAAGTTTCTCTCTGGACTAATTAACTACCTTGTATAACGATATATGCATTCAAATTAATTTTTTCTATTTTCAATAGAAACGGCAAAATGTATTCTGACGAATTGATCGGCGGTATGAACCAGGGTAATCCAAGACGTGTCAGTGATGGCAAAGGCAAACAACCATCATTCAGTGTAACATTGTAATATTATTCATTATTATTATCATCAATAATTATTATCATTAGTCTGGGATTAATTTCTTGGATTCTGTGGCTGGTGTGAGGTGTGAAATCATATTAATATTGATACACATAATTTACTATATTAATAATTAGTTTATCCAGAAATATTAATATTTTTCTGTTTTTCTACACATTCATTACCTTATTTTTTTTTATTTATATAAACATGCTAAGATGTTGTTATATTAAAAGACTCGACTATATAGAGTCGCAAACTGCTGTTTTAGATAACAAAATTATCCTCATTGAATAACATCTACGTACTTTTCTTGCCGCGAGATGCAAATATTTGATTTTTTTTCTTATAGTTGTTTCAATTCGAATGTATCGAAATAATTAAAACCAGAAACTTACACTGAAACTTACACTCAGCGATCGAACGTAATGCCACCATCCTGGCTAGTTAAATAACGAATATTGATAAGTTAATAAAGATATGATGATGAATATAATAAAGGCTACTTACAGGTATATACAAGAGATCGCCAGGACGCAGTATGCATTCGACATACTGCGCAGAAGAAAATCTAGGAAATAGCTGAACATCTGGATTCTCAACGTCAACCTGGTTTTTATTTTTCAAAAATAATACTATCAAAATAGGAAACGCGTATGCTAATCGTCATTAAATAAAATCTGAACCTGGCTTGTATTTTTCAGTAAATCATCATTCTCAAATGGATAGACTTTGGTCGTTTCTTCCGGTGCATACAATCTTATGTATTTTTCTCCGACAACTTGTGCCAAAAGATTATGATATGGATCGGTATGCATCGGCGAGATAGTGCCTTTCGGTCCGAACCATGCATTTATAATAACATCTGACGGCGGCTTATATTGTACGTTACTGTTCGATTGAGAAAGATTATTACTACTATTATCCGTCTCTAAAGGCTCAGTATCCACAAAACAATAATCAGGAATTATGATATCCTCTTTAAGACGAGGAATTTGATCAAATAAATTATGTTGAGCAAGATACGAAATATTATTATCGGAGATTTCTTGTGAAGAATCATGATCTTTTATGATATATTTCCTAACGAATTCGCCAAACTCCATTAATCTCTGTGTCCAAGATTCCTCCGTGTATTTCGCACCAATCTCAACTGGCACTATACGCTCTTCGCCCGCGACACACAATAAATAATCAATATTCGACCACGGTCGCGTCGAAAGAGCGGGCCAATGCGAAATCGAAGATTTGATTATGAATGGAGTTGGTCTTGCTGATTTCACATGAGCAGTGAAAGAAAGCAAGCTTAGTGCTGTTTCGTGTTCATATATCGGATATTTTATACATGGCATTTGATCATCGTTAGAAGAGGAGGATGAAGATAATTTACTGCTGGAAAAACTTTTACTACTATTATTCTCAAGTTTTCTCTCGACCACTGAAATCAATTGCAAGATCAAATCCTTTCTTCCCTCGCCAATTGCACCTGACATTAGCAACGTCATATCCAACGTCTTTATCACTTGTTTCCAAGCATTTTTTATCGTATTGTCATCAATTTTATTTTGATCATTTTCCTTTTGTATAGTTGTCGCCAAATGAACTTCACATATACTTTTTACAAGACTGGCATCGGTGTGCAGTTGTCTCCAACAGGATGGAACCTCGCGAAAAGTATACGAATGAAACTTTTCAGAAGATAAGTCAATGAGTGAGTCCGCCTTTAAATGGATCAAGTTTACTTTATTATCGTTATCACTAATATTTTCTTCCAGAGAATGCAATTCTGTTATGCAGTCGACAAGTATATAGATTGTGGACTTTCCACAAGAATGTAAAACTATGTGAATTAATAATAAACTATCTTATAAAGTAAATCGGTCGATTTTCGAAAGAACGAATATAGTCCCACCCACATTTTCCAAGATTTCCAGCGTTTAGGTCTTGAGTCAATTTCGCTAAAATAGAATTGCATGCTTCAGAAGCGGTTGTTTCCATTTTATAATTAAGCATCATCCCGATAATTTTGACATCCGAACTTAAAATTTAGCCACATATACGGTCCCAACTAATCAGCGCTGTGGCTGTGAAATTAACCAATCAAGATTCCTAAAAATCACATGATCCATGACTTTTTTTCGGTGCTAATCAGGGTAGATGTAGATTAAAATCAAATTTGCTTAGAGCTGTGTTCTAATAAAAAATTTCTTGTGAAATTTTACTTTAAATACTCATATACAATATATGATTCTTTATAGTATATATGTCAATTTTGAAATATGCATGATAATTGATCTGATATTTTTCATATTTATTATTATTAATTATAATTTAAGTTATTAACTTAGTATTTTTTATAATTTCTAAATTGAAATTTCTTATTTAGATTATTTTAGATTATCTTTTCTTTCTAGTAGATTTTTCATATTTAAACTCTGATATTATCAATTATTAGTATAATCTTTATTATAAGTTTATTATAATTTATTATTAAATAAATTCTTAAGTTTGATTATAACTTTTTATAAAGTTTTACAGATATATATGATTAATTTTGTATTAATATATTCTTTTATAAAATATATTTTTCAGATAAATAGATCAAGTTTATTTTTTTTTCTTGATATCAGTTTATATTAATTACTTTTTTTAAGTTATAAATCAGATTAAATTTATAAAGAATTTTATTTTTGATCTAAGTTTATCTATAAAATAAGATATATATAAATAAGCTAAATATATATTAATTAAATTTACTCTTTTGATTAATTTTTTAATAATTATAATATATTATTTTATATTTCTATAAGATAATTATTTTTTCTATTTTAATTATTATTATTACTTATATATCTAATTTATAATTTCTAAATATCTTTTAAATTAATATATAAATAAAGTTTTTCTTTAATTTTAATTAGTATTATTAATATATCTCCAGCTTTCTAATTAAGTAATTTTTTATTAATATATTAGATATTAATAAAATTTTTTTATAATTTAAATTTTTTTATATTATTAATATTATTAATAAAAAAAAGAATAT